AAAAATAACCAGAAGGAAAAATGTCCTGGCCGCTGGGGATCCCATCTTGTTTGCAATGCTCGACGCTTATTGCAATTGTTGGCTGGCGGAAGTACGTCAGTAGCTTTCGGTTATTCAAATGTGTGATAATCAATTCTGTAAATACGTAAGATAAAGTAAGAGAATTATTATGAATTACTTTCCAAAGTAGTCTTAATAATAATATATACTCTTGTTTAACTATATAATGATCGCTTAATGATTCCGATTAAGTACTTACAGTAGTGTCGATATAAAAATACAGTAGGGCAATCTTTATAAAACACTTTCTAGTGTAATCTGGAAAATAATACATACTGTTCTTGAACTAAATAGTAATTGTTTGATATTTACGATTAACTACTTGCTATAGCGTAAATATGCAAAATCCATTACCTAGTTATGAAATACTTTTAGTATAATCTTGATAATAATACATACTCTTTTTGTAATAGAATAACGATTGCTTGATATTTACAATTAATAGAATACTGTAGTGCAAATATACAAAATACATTAGGACAAACGTTATGAAATACTTTCTAATGTAATGATAATAGTAATGCATGGCCTTCTTGAACTAGATGATGGTTGCTTGATACTTACGATCAACTATTTAGCATAGTATAAATATTCAAAATATAACGGACCGTTATGATAGTTACGACATGTTATGAATCGTTATATTTATACATATGAAATACTTTCTGTTGTAATCTGGATAGTAATATATACCCTTCCTGAACTACATACAGAATGATTGCTTGATAATTATGATTAAGTACTTACTGTAGTGTAAATTGCAAAATACAACAGGACAATCGCTATGAAATGAAGATTATTTGACACTTACGATTAAGTACTTATCCCCAGGATGTTATCTTGCTTAGACGAATAGAAATAATAAAGCCAAATTGTATGATTTTCAGGGAGTAGAATGACTATCATGGAGAAGGACATTTAATCAGTAATACTAATAGTGACTCAATTGTACATGGGAATAAAATAGACGATGTTGCTTTACAGTGATATTGCCTTTCTATTGACAGTATCTTATTGCATAGAATAGAATTACAATTTTTAATTAATGTTAAATATAAATATACCTTCCTTCTGTCGCCTTGTCGGTGAGTAGTTCTGTGTTACAAATGACTATTGTTAATGAGCGAGTTCTAAGAATATCTAATGACTTTATTACAAAGTTGAAATTATAGATTAATACTTTACAGATTGATACCGTACTTAATAATCATTGTCTACCTTCTACTACGTTGAGATCTACATTGAAACTGTCAGGTTTGCAACTTTAATAGAAGCCTTACAATAACGTCCTATGACGTTCTACGCGCTTTGTCGGGTAATATCCAACCAATCTTGCCCTTCGAATTACTTTCTGTACATACTTACGTAGCTAGGACCATAGTTAAGCTTTATGTACCAAACTCTACAGATTTATTTTTGTATTGATCGCCATGATAACGATATTGCTATTGATATTACTTCCGTATTAATTTCTAGCGCTTGTCGATTATATGTAAATAAATTGTAATAATAGATTAACAATTGACTAAGTAAAATGGATGTTTACTATGATTTATTTGTTGCAGCAGTATTATTTATTATTGTATTGTTTAAATAGGTAATTTCTACTTGCTATTGTAAAAGCTAGTAGGAACTCTTAGGATAGATGTTGACTGCATACGTAATAAAATGTTAATAAACAACGTGGCGTTGAACAGTTCCCTTACGTGTTATTACCAGAAAACAAGAAACATTCGCTCAGTGACCTGATCATCATCATTCCCTAGCGATCATTAGTAATAATGCAGCCTTATCCATTAAATTTGCCGCTGTTTGTTTGTTACTGTAGACATATTCTTCAGTCAGTGTTGGATTAATTTTAAGTCTTCCGTTTTACCCATTTAATTCGTGGTTACTGGACGAATTTTAAGTTTCCTTTTTGTCTATTTAAATTACTCGCCGTTACTTTAAACATGCTGATAAGTCCGTATTTAATAAATTTTGAAACTTCCTTTTATCCATTACATTAGTCGTCGTCAGTGGACTTGGCAGTTGGATAAATTATAGTGCAGTAGCTGGCTTTACAAAATCAATAGGCTTGATCAAACTACAGAATAACTGAAAACTGTATGTAGTTCATGAAGTAAAATTATTCGCAAACATTGGCGGTGTACGGTCGACATACAGAATAATTTTATAAATTGTAGTGTAGTAGCTAGCTTTTCTTGATTAAAGTACTGGATAACTGAAACTGTAGCCCATTAAGTTAAATAATTCACTAATATTGGCGATATACGATAGACATAGAAAAATGATTTTGTCATAAATCTAGCGTCAAAATCTTGATTTTATATAAGTTCTAGACTTATTATACCGCAAAATACTTTTTTTCGCATTTTCGGAACGTTTGCTCTACTTTAAATATTATATATATATATATATTATCAAAATACTCTTAACGAACCATTAGTTAGTGATTATCTAATATCGATTAGCAACGTCGAAATTAAGACAACCCACAATATTGCTAAACAATGCCATAATCGTGCCATAATGCAATGCTATTACATTTTAACCTTAAATATTACATGATATACTTAGATTATTTGTCTGGCTACACATTGACCCAAGCTGGAATCAATACATTACAAGCCAAAATATTACCTAGGCAATGGACTCGATTTCTATGCACCTACAAGTCTTGAGTTAATGATAATAGCTCATAATTAGTCATAGAATATTTTATTCCAAGTATCAAAAATTCAAATATAAAATTTAAGAAGATATACTGTATACGTGTACTTGATGTATAACATCTAAATAGGGTAAATTTAAAAGTTTGCCCAGTATAAAATTAGTAGACGACGGAATTTATACCGTAAGCAGTCTATCAATTCATTTTAATATAGCAAATGAATGAGCAAAATAATGCATTAAGAATAGTGTTTAAAATCAAAAATAAATTTTACGTCTAGAGTCCGCTAGCTCTGATCGCATTCTATCTATTTCTTAGTTGGAATTAGCCAACTCGGATGATATTTGGTAAGAGAACGAGTTATGGACATTATTCAACAGAGGAAGAATTGATAATAAATATCAGCTAAGAAGCTTTATTATCAGTATCCTTACTTGGCAAAGAAAATTGATTAAACTTATGATATAGTAGTAAACAATGTAACAGTTCAATAGGAGTGAACCAGCGCTACTTGATGAGATGGTATTCCTGGATTTACAAATTTTTTAAAATTTAGATTGTCTTCCTCGATTTTAATACGATTAGACTCGCAATCATCTCTTAATCCCAAGTTTATCGAATGCTAATAGTAATCAAAGGATTATTTATATTAAGGATTAATGCGAGTGCATGCGGAAATATATATATTTTTGTAATAATTTCGGGTATTTAAACTAAGTAAGGTTATTATATTGCATCTTTACTTTAATGGTCGTCAGTATTTTTGAGAACTATATATCGTAAGTCTACATAATTGTATAAATCATATATAACATGCAGTAATTTAGCTACATAAAAGCAATTCTTGAATACACTGTACATTTCATTTTGTAACAATATTGTCGCTATAACGAACGTAATGCTAACATTTGAATGAATAACAGAAAATAGGAGCAATAATAGCTATCATGAATAAGTTAAACCTTCGCGGCTAATTTATTAATATTCTTATGCCTTAATATGAACTTCTATACAGTAGCCTCTACATCCTAAAATTATAGCGTGAAATTTTATCGTACTCCAATCGAGAACAGATCGACTGACGACAGATCCGTCCGAAGAGGATTATCAATCAATTAGTCCTAAAATTTTATTAAAGTAATTAGAATTCGACTTCATGACAAGTAGAGTAAATTAAATTATCATCGCTGTAATAACCTGTTGTTTTTAACATTACCAGCAAAGATTGTGCTGCACTCAATATTAGATTCTAATAAATTTATTGGGAATGTTTTCTTTAAATGCATTTAATAATACCGTTATTAAATAGTTTAACTTTTTACATAAAACACAATTTGTGTAATATAATTGCATAAAGGTTTCAATTCCATGAATTTTATAACTAAACTTATAATAATTATTCTTAAATTGAAGAACACTTCAAAATCATTTATATAATCGCAATAGCCATGATATGACATAATATCTACTGGTATTTTATCTTTCTATCGATCAGAACAGTCAAATTTTTAGCCCATAAAATTTGTAGTCAAAAGTAAATATACTGCATGACGTCCAAAATTATAAGACCGACGTCGTATGGACACCTGCACCATCGTAAAAGTAATCACGGTATTTATTATAGTCGCTAAAAGCATTGCAAAAGTCTTTACAATGGGATGAAAATCTTTGATAGCCTTATTAAGAATTTTCATTACTGATTAAATTTACATCTTTAAAGTTACTATATGCATAAAAATAATTTGCATATGAAATTATTTGCATGTACCTATGACTAATTCCTTTCATTAACTTAGATATGAAATACTTATATTTTACAAGCGACTTGCGATTCGCTTGCATAAGTATTTTTGGGGCCAGATGAAGTTTTACACAACTGTGAATTTCCTAACGGGTTGTCGGTGATAACGATGCATGGTAAAGATTTACTTATTTTAGCATCTCTAGCATTTTTTAGCGTATAGTGTTCTTCTATTATTCCATGGGGTGATGTAATGTTCTCAAGACAAGTGTGACTTCCATTTTGACTCTTTAAATTCGACGTATCCGATATCGGATTTTCAGTGCAGTGTTTGCTATCGCTATTATTCGCCTTAGATTCCTGATCGCGAAAGCAGCGATCATTCCTATCTGATAGTGTTGAATTTATATCTTTATCTACTTGTATCCTTTCTACATCATGATCTTCTGTAATTTCTTCTCCCAATGTAATAACTTCAACATGTTCCGTATTTCTTCTATTATCTTTAAGCGCAGCTTGTGCACATTCTTCGGAATGATAGTAAGACACATCTTGGAATGTGTCTGGTAAATCAGGAAGTAGTAAATCAATAATTGTTCGAAATTTTGGTCTCATTTTGGCTTGAAATCGGGTACATTTAGCCATAATATGGTACCTAATAGAGTGCATAGTATTTCAATACATCATAGACTTCATTAATTCAGATATTGTTTCATCATCAATATATCCTAGTTTAATAGAGATAGCTTATAATACAGAATAAATGATGAATAGTATGCTTACAATTTATCAGAGCAGAACGGAGGTCTCTGTATGCTCCCACCATCGAGAATATATCGAGCAACATCTTCATTCGACTTTCCTGGATAAGGTTGTTCAGCTAAGGTAGCAACTTCCCATAAAACAATTCCGTATGACCTATATTTATATTACATTTTAAAGTAATCCTTGAAGTATCTTATTTGGAAAGAAATTTAATTGTAGTTCCGCATATGTCTTAAGAATTTAAGCATATAGTCTGTAAATACTTTAGTAATCGTAATATACCATAAAAGGTAGAAACGATACGAAAGATCACGTCATAAAGTATGTTTATGATAGCAAATTATACAGGATACTGTAGCGACAGATTTATTGATTTTAGTAATCGATCAAGGCTACGATGCAGGTTATTTTCGTTAAATCAATGCTATAATGGGATCATTACACGATATACAATTAGCATAATCAGACTAACCATACGTCAGAAGCTGATGTATATACTCCATCTCTTATAGATTCAGGAGGCATCCAACGAATAGGTAGCATTCCTAAATGCAATAACATTTAACATATAATTATTAAAAACATTTTCGCCTAATTCCTATATTTTATAATAAAATGTAAGAATAAATAATACTATGTTATAGTTAACAGTACCTTTTCCACCCTTACGATAGTAGTCGCTGGTATAAACATCACGAGTCATGCCGAAAATCTTTGAAAATACAACAAGATCAGATATTAGAAGGATAATTCTAAGCCAGATATACAGTCTGAGTGAGTCAAAAGAAACAGTGTTGACTATTTAGTTGTATACCTCCAATCTTCACAGTAAGATCCTCGTTAACCATACAATTTCGAGCTGCTAAATCCCTAATATTTAAGTAAACATAAAGATGCAAGAAACTATAACGAATCCAGGGTGATAAACGGTTTAATGCTTGCTTACTTTATTACTTTGTTTGTGTAAAGATATTTTTTATGCGCAAAAACAGCACAATAAAAGGGTTTGATGTGCGCGTATATGACGTACGTTATAATTTATTGGTTACGTTTTGGTAACTAACCTATGCACAAACTTTTTGTCACCTAGGTATAACATTCCATCAGCTATTTCAGCAGCCATTTTATGAAAGTGGATATCAGAAGGTCGGTTTGGATTAGGCTTCATATACTAATGTAAGATTTCGTCGTATAAAAAGGCTATTGTTAGATAATAAATCATCATCCTTTCTGAATATACAAGTTGTACATCATACTCTATTACTAAAATAAAACTTTAGAGAGTCCTCTTTAGCTAGAAAGTGCTTTAAATGCGAACTTTCCATACAGATCCATAAACGGAACAGTAATTTACAATCTGAGAGTTCCTTACGTAATCTGCACTGTCAGCGTCTTCACGAAGCGATCGTAAATAGTTCTTTAGGTCACCACAAGCCATTAACTCCATGATAACTAGAGGCGGAATTCCTTGTGAAACGATACCCAGTAATCGAACTACATGATTGCAATCAAATTGCCTATTAAATAGAAAGTGCAATAATTGTTATTAACGCTTTTTATATAAAAATCATTACATCGCTTTTAAAACCTTATACGATATAAGTAAATACGTATATTTAAAATAATTACATTTATTACTATTTATCAACAAATATAATTTAAATTTTACGTCATAATGCAGGCCTCATTTAAAAATTCTTGACGCTGTAGGAAGGTAGCCTTTTCGTTCACTGTCTATTTTACGATATAATACCAAGCATCATCATCCAATTTTTATTATCGTTCTCTACTTAGTATTCTTTTATAACTGCAAATATGCTTTTAACTCCTATACCTTGACGGCTACTTTAGTTTTCGATTCGCCATGAATAATACCATGAGCTTCACCAAGATAAACCATACCGAACGCGCCTTTGCCTAGTTCCTTCAATAAGTTCACCTTATCACGTTCAAATTCCCAGATAGCAGGAATACATGTTACTATTGATACAGTATATTAAAAAAGTTCCTTTAATACAAATTACGTATTTTAGTAAATTTCTTGCTTTCCTTAAATATTGGATTAGATATAAACTCTTTAAAATTCAATACACTCACTCGTATTTGATTTAAAGTGTTATGTTATTTTATATTTACGATAAAATCTTACTATCTTCTTCATTCATGTAGTTAGGATTATTCGATTCTATGAACTCCTTAGATTTTCTTTTAACTCTTAACAATAAGTAACTCTATTAATAATTAATAATGTAAATTATCTTATATAGAGATAACGAATATCTATTACCTTCTTGTATACCATACTGCTCCGCAGGCGACGATGATAGTGAAAATAACAGTACTAATAACAACGCTTATAGTAACAACTTGATTTTGATCTTAAATAGAAGAATTAATGTACAATAGTACGATAAGTATCAGTTTAACTCGTTATTAGATATGTCATCGTAGTCTATATAATTTTGATATTTATGTGTAACGTATAGTTATAATACTGTATAAGGGTATTTAAGCATACGCTAGAGCTTTATACAAATGTGAAGTAATTAATGTTTCGTTAGGTTAAAATTGTTAGTAGATATATATTTAATATATATGTGATCAGTGTAATTACCGCCTAGTTTAACTAGTTCTATTGATATATTTCCTGCCCATGTACCATTACCAGCTAACGATGTCGCCCTGACGTCTATAATATAATAACCGCTTCTGCCTAATTTGATGCTGTAACCGTTTGTTTCGTTATACTCAGAGGCAGGTATACATCTTGATTCCAACTAATAGAATTATTTAACAAACCATTCGTGTGAGAAGTCTTTTATAGTTTTAAAAAATTTAACAAGTAACGATATATTGTAAAATACGTATATATTACGAAGATAAAGTATATATAAGATGATAGAATTGGTACCTGATCGTGCTTAGTACCAGCCATGTAACGGGATTTATCGTCGAAACGATAAATTCTGATCTCGTACGCTAAAATATGACCACCATTAGGATTGATTGGTGGACTCCACAACATTATAACTTCGTAACTTTCAGCGATTTTTCTGAATGATATATTTTTTATATCATCTCTTGTAACTAATTTATCATTAACGATAATTCATTATCAGAATTATTAGTTACAATCATATAGTAACTACATAGTTCTGTAGCATACAAATTCAAAAATAGTTATTTTAGACCAAACACTATATCAATATACAAGACAATACCTTCTGGTAGAGTTCTAACGTTATACAGATCTGTAGAAGAATCTTGTCCAGCTATAGGACATTTACTGTTACATGGAATAATCTATAATGAAGAGAATAGAATAATATAATACACTGATATATACATCGAGTACACGAGATGATTTATTTTATCGCTACTCGATGTTATTATAATGTAGTTACTGTAGATATACAAGTAATTAAGAATTATATCGATAGCTAGTAAAAGAATGGTATACAATACTTACTGTTATTAAGTATTTAGTAAACGGATCGAGATTGTGTAATATTATGTATGTATTAAGAATATGTTTTTCTATTACTGGAAGCGGGGACGGAGTCGATGTCGATGATAGTAATGGGGTAGTTGCGATAGTGACACTACTTAGAGTCGAATTTCTACTAGCAACGGTAGCGTTTTCTAAAGTGATATTCGTAGGTATAATTGTAGTTGCCGCAGCCGCTTCGGTCGTCAATACAGTGGTTGCTATTTCGGAATGCACATACATATACAGAGATAAATAACAATTAGTGCTATATATCGGTTAAGATACAAGTATATAAGAGCGAATAATACAGTAAGTTATATATTATACCAGTTGTTGATATTGTTATATTTGCTGTTGATACAGTGCTGGGGGCAGGTGTCTTTTGGTAGAAAGCTATTTTATTAAGGTACTCGAAGAAATTTTGATCTTCCCTTCGGATATCAGTAATATCAGCTTGATTTATACTTGTGGTAGCAGTAGACAAACATGGACAGCTATTGTTTGCGCTAATTGTAGGTGTAGTCTTTATGTCGATGCCAGGATTTACGACGATATTCGAATCCACATTGCCACTATCGGTGCAAACTTTACTTGGTAATATATCTTCTGCTATTAGTTGTTCGTATATTACTTTATAAGTTATGTTAAGACCGTTAGGTGAAGATGGAGGATCCCATGAAATTCGGATTGATGATGGAGAAAGATTAATATATTCTACATTTCGAATCGGTGTCGGCTCTATAGTCGAGTTAAAATATTTTAATAATCGATATTCAGTGTTAGTTATACTGTACGTGTAACTGTTTACTCAAACATGATACAAATATGAAAACGTACAAGTAGAATATTTAGTGTAATCAAATGAAATATATAGATATAAAGTAGAATATTAATTAGCTAGTGTATTTAACTTAAATTAACGTTCTGTCACAATGAAACTTACGTAAATCTGGTACAGTGTAATATTTAATATTACTAATAGCACCGATATCGCTGATTGTTATGGTCTTAACATATACAGCATATATAGTATTCGCTTTCAAGTTCTTAATGGCGACAGTATTCTTGTCAGGAGCTATAATAATTTCCTGCCAACTAATCATATCCAAATTATATAATAGATATAAATAGATATTGTTACTTTATATGTGATATTTCTAATAATATTAATTTATAACAATGTAAAGGATTGACAGTAGAATAGTTTTTAGATTGGGTAATCGTTAGTAAGACTTACACTTTAACTCCACAAGCATCAACGCCGTCATAAACTGTAAGATTAGTTGTAGTTCTGAAAATAAAATTGATTTCATATTTGTAGTTTGTAGAAATGTATAATATAGGCGTGTGTATTGGGTTGTTGTTACTTTAACTTTCGTATAAGTATTGTACTTTGTCAGCTATTTTGTAATTTACTAATTCTAAATACTGTTCGGTGCAAGGATTGAATTTAGATTCTGTTAACTTACGTTGTTCTATAATACACAATATGATTTACTAGCATATTAGATCCTCCAAATTGATTGGAAGCAATCGGTTCCCAAGTTACATTTAAAGTAACTCGACGTCTATAATAGTTACTGTTGCCGTTAAAAACGGTTATATTAATAGGATAAATGATACCTAAAATCATTCAAAAAATATATTCAGTTAACTAGCTTCTTTTACCCTAAGAATTCTGTATAAGTTTATGAAAATACTTAAGTACTCGCTTTCTATATTTGTTAGAGTTATAACTAGTAGTAAAACAGTAAATTTATTTAATTTTATACACAGCTAGAAAACTTATTTTAGACATACATTGATTTTGATCTCCGTTAGTTTGTCTTGGTACATCTACGATAGAAGTTGTATTTTCTTGACCGATTTGTTTAGCTAATGTCATAATTTTGTTGTAGCACAGACGCGGATTGAAATGGAAGAAGAGTTTTCCTCTTTTGACTTGTAATTTATGCTGTGATCTCTCAGTCCATAGATTTTCTAAATTTCGATTGTCAAATATAACAATCGCGTATCTATAGATGAGGTAGATTATGTTACTACACTATAAAATTCTATGAAACTTAAACATTTTATCGTATTTATTTTTTAGTATAAATAGCGAAGAAATACTTAAATAAGATTAATGTATTGTAATTACTCGTATACTGATAATTTTAGTTAATTTATATTTATATCGTATTTTGTTGTATGATAAAATTAAATCCTTATTAACGAATAGAAATAGTAGATTACCCTTGTCCTGTTTTGTCAGCTCTTGCTAACTGTTTACCATGAATAATTTTTAATCTCTTCAAAAATTCTAAGCTGACGATCGAAGGTGTACTAGAAATATCAAGATAGCCTTCGATTTCTTCGACACTGCTAAGAGCATTTTCTAGTTCTTTTACTATATCTCCAGCTATATGTATATAAAAGATTATTTAAGGGTAAAATAACCGTTATGATAATGAAATGAAATAGTAATATTAGAAGTAGTTACCAGTATTAAAATAAAAAAGAATTGTATCAAACTACCAAGAAATAACTTACAGCCATAAGTAATTCGGATGATTAAGTTTCCCTTAAGTACAGTACATTCTCTTAAGTTTTGTAACTGATGATCGACGGATGATATTATAAGGTTTTTACCTTCTTTATCTTTTACTTCGCATTCTGAAATAGTAAAAGTTCTCGTTATTTCTTTATAGTAAATCATTATATATAGGTAGTCTGATGCTATATACATATTCGTATAACTTGTCATCTAAGGAAGATTTTGAATTACTTCATTAATAAATATATCTTGATTAAACTACATTATAGCTATGCATGTACAGTATTATCTAAATTAGTATGAGTATATGCGCATGCAATGTTTTTTATACCTCTCTTGCAAGCACTACAGACTGTACAAGTTTTACTCGATTCGTCTTCTATCCATCCTGTAGGACACTTTCTGACGCACTTATTTAAGTGGTGATAAGATCCTGGAGGACAGCGCTTTAAGCAATGACCTTCTATCTACAGAATTGGGATATAAATTGGGTGATATAGATATGGATTTGTTGAATTCATCATCATAAGATACACATTAAATAGGTAACATATATTAAATATGATACGGTACGGCTTAATGAAGGATATTCAGTCAAGTGGCTTAGTATTGTAGCAGATCTATTG